CCTATCCCCTGTGTGCCTTGCCTCCCACGACTAGGAAATGGAAAAAGAGGGTTAAAAAAGATTTTGGGATGAAATGGTATAAAAAGATTTGTTGGGGTCTAATTTTTATGGTCAAAAGTCAATAAAAGAGATAAAAGATGAGGGGGTACGGTGAAATCCTTAGGGATTTTCTTATGCCGTTTGAAAGAAAAACGAAAAGAGGGTCTACCATGAAATAATATAAGGAATTAGGGTTATATACGAAATTTTCCCAAAAAGAAATAGGTGTTACTATCATTAAGAATCTACTTCTAGTTATTATTGTTGGTGAAATGAAGATTTAAACAGGTCCATGAAGCTTTGTAAGCATACAATCAATACTACTCGGTGTTGGCATATACCCAAAGAAGAATTAGATGATCAAAGGGTCAAAACTAAACAACATGAATGAGTTACAACCATATGAAGGGGAAGTAGTTTTCCTGCAGTTTTCTTAGAAGTCCTGAATATGGATACAAAAGTAGAGAGTAAAGAACGTCGAGCCGATATCAGGAGGGCAGGTAATCTTTTCATTAATCACATAAACAAAATCAATATTTTAGAACTTGTAGGATAGACTATGTATTACTAGCATAAATGGAGATGACAAAAAAAAGGTCATGTACATTTGGATTGCTAGAAAGCATACCCATAAGACCAAATTGTAAGTATCTGGAGAACCAGAGTGACTCAAAGGTTCACGTCCGCAAATTAGCTCTAAAAGGACAACCCCAAAACTATATACATCACTCTTCTCAGTTAATTGTTGAGTTGAATAATATCTGCACAGGCCATAGAGATAATGAGAACATAATCTGTAAAAAGAAAGAAATGAACAGGAAATTGTAGCATGAAACTTACTCCGGATCGAGGTAGCCAGCAGTTCCTTTGACAACAGTGGTGACATGAGTAGCATCAGCCTGAGCAACCTGTTTAGAGAGGCCAAAGTCACAGACCTTGGCATTCATCTCCAAGTCCAAAAGGATATTGCTGGATTTCACATCACGGTGAATGATTCTTGGATTGCTTCCATTGTGCAAATATTCCAATCCTTATAGAAAATAAAATAGTAAACAGGAACTCAGTTCCCAGAGTTACAAACTCCAAAGCCTTTTCAAGAAAACTGAAGGCTATTACTAGTTCTATCTGCAGCTACAAAGATAAATAAAACATGCATAGGGTAATTTCAGGCCAAAGTTATAAGTTCCATTCTTGTTTCCATTTTTTATTTTTGATAGATTGCCAGTTGAAATCAGTCAAATGCATCCCAGTTAAACCAAAAACCCCGAAAAGCTTCCTGCCCATGTATGCATCTAAAAATCAACCCATGCAGTAAGGGACACCCTTCAAGCATTCCATGAACCAATTTTATTTTAATATCACTTCAACAATAACAGCAGCAGTTCATCTGGTAATGATTAGAAAAATCAAAAACTATTTCCTGTTCTTTTGAAGTTTCCATGCATTAACATTTGATAGAAATTTGGAACTTTTTTTATCGAACCAAACACTTACCCTTTGCTGCATCAACTGCAATTTTTAACCTTCGAACCCAGTTCAACGTTCTCTTCTTACTGTTTGATCCTGAAATGATGACTTCCAATGTTAGTTCAAAGACTATAAATGGCATAATGTTCAGCTAACATAAAACAAGTCGTAATCCTCTTCGTTTTTGGTCATACCATAAAGATTGTCAGCAAGTGACCCCCCTGGTACATACTCATATACTAGGATTTGCTGTTTTGATTCATGACAAAATCCTTCCAATGACACAAGATTTTGGTGGCGCACTTGTGACAAAAGATATACCTGCAAGGAACAAATGACAAGGTATCTGAGGGAAACCAGTACAAAAAATCACTGCTTTAGGAACTAAATCAGACTGTCAGAATTATCACAAGGAGCTACAAAAATTAGAAGCATTCTAGATTTCTGTCTTCATGCCAGAAATAGATGAGATTTAGTTTACCAACACAGTAGAAGGCAATCGTTAAAGTGCAAATTCAATCCAAATGAAAGCCCATGTGAAGTAAGTTTCAAAAATCTAATCAATCAATTTCTAAACTTCCACAAAAATCCAAGTTGCTACAAATGAGAAGGATAGATACCCCTAGATTCTTTTTACTTGTACAATACTTATAAATTTTAGGAGACAGGTATCTTCTCAGTGAGTGAAGACTTGAGTGTTCCTCCCAGAAAAACAAGGACCACATTTTAAATTAATGAGAAAGGAAGCACTCGTTATTCAGAAAAAATCAGCATGGACCAGAACAATGAAAAATCAAAATTGTACAGCAACTAATTAATTTTCATACTCACTTCACCCAATAATACATTTGTAGAACTTCCAATATCATTTAAAATCCAGAACTTACCAGTATGAAGCATCATCACCATGTTTTGAGACTTCCCATATTACACAACATGTTTTTGGGTTTGAAATGTAGATAAAAATGATTAATGAATGCACCAGCACACATAACTCCCATTTAAAGTCTTTGAATTAGTTATAAAAATTAAAATGGAAGGTATATATATCCAATATGTGCAGACCTCATTGACAAAGGAATCTGAACCAAGTTGGGTTCGATCAAACCGCACTTTGACTGCAACTTGTTTCCCATCAGTAAGTTTCCCAAGGTACACAGATCCAAAACTACCACGACCTATAACTTCCTTAAAGTTGTTTGTAGCAGATCTTATCTCCTTATACGAGAAAATCTTGGCAGCATTCCAACTGCGCATATCTGTGCCTGTATACACCATGGAAATAAAGGCCAAGCCTCATAAAAGTGCGTCCAAGGAAATAATAACAGAAAGTGAAGGCATTTTTCAAGGGCCTTTGTCCTGTATCCTAATTCTTATAGAGAGGACATATTTTGTGAAGGATATACCTGAGGTGGATGGATTGTCATCGCTCTGTTTGCTCCTCCTCGTGCACATGAAAATGAAAAGCCCCAAAATCATGAGTGCAAATGCACCACCAGCAACTGCACCGATAATAATGGCATTTCTATGGTGGCCATGCTTCTTTCTCATGTTAAAATATGTAACTTGTGGGGTCTGAATTGTAGGACGTGGTTGAACATTTACACATGTTGAGGGGGTGAATGAAAGGCACAAATTTCCTGATATCCTGCACAAAGCAAATGTCTTACATATATCAGACTTTTAAAATCACAGCTGGTGAGAAACCATATAAAAAAACAACAGGAAATCCAAAATCCTACCTAACTTCCAAAGTTTGCTTGTTTAGAGATTGTGGTAGGGTTCCTTGAAGTTTATTATTCTCCAAATTTCTGCAGAGGAATCATGCATACAGAAATACTGTTAGTATAGCAGAATTTGAAAAGAAGACCAAGGTTTATATACAGGAGAATATAAACTTACAACAGATGAAGATTTGGCAAACTTCCCAGGCTCTCCGGGACTGTTCCTTCTAAGCTATTGTTCTGCAAGTCACTTCAAAATGGGAAAAGAAAAAAAAAAACCTTGAAATCACTTTTAAACAAGGAAACCAGTCGACATACTACCAATAAAAAGTTGAAAACGGCGCTACAAGCTCACAAGGATACAAGAAAAAACTACTCATCAATGAGAGAAGAACATGCACAAGGTGGTTAACAACAACTTGCTCACATCAACCATATAATCACAGGTGAGATTGGTTCAGCTAATCAGAACTCAATGCTAATCTTGTAACAGAAAGACCATTTGGAGAAAATATAGCTGAGTCCTCAACATTTTTTATGTATCTGGTAATGAAATGCAAATCAAATACAAAGGTGTGTTTGAGTGGCACTAAAAAATTATTCTTTTATGACCATAGTGTAAGGAACATAAATTTTTTATCACCAAATGATATGGAATAGACACACAAAACAAGAAGTTGTGTTCATTAGAAGAACCTAGAACTTAGAAAAATACATCCCAATATTCCATCCAAACCAGCATTTGTTAAACCAGTTAAGATGGAAACATGGAAGCTATCTTAATGTTAGGTGAAGGCAAAAGGGAGTCCAACCAAATATATTCAAGTTACAAACATAATTTTGTAAGGCGTGTTATATATGGCATGCGGTTCTCTAGCCACCTTTCAAGCTACCAGCCAAACTGGTAATTGAGTTGGGATATAGCATGTTAGTTAGTACTCATCATATGGACGGGGAGGAAGCCTAAGGTTTTATATCATGTTAGTTGGTACTCATCATATGGATGGGGAGGAAGCTCATCTTAAGTTAAAAAATTCTACCAAGCTAATGATAAAGATAGGAGACTCAATCCATTGACATTCTAATATTTTCCACAGCCAAGGAAAACAAAATTTGGAAGATTCAATTTGAATACCTATTGATCTCAGAGGAGATAGGTCAAAATAGCCATCCAAATGTGAGGCAAATTCAGTTATATATTACCATATACGTTCCAAGGAGATTGTCATCTATGAATTAAATAGAACTTCATGGAAAGTTGGAAATATAAAAATCAGCCCAACAAGCTGAGTCGCCTGTGCCTGACAAGACATCGTCACCTCAGAGCTCAAAGAATGACTAAGTCAAGAATCTAAAAGAAAATTTCTCAAATAACAACTACTCAATTCCATAATAAGGAAAACCATTTGGTAGGAAAATCAAAATGACAGATATGTGGTAACGGAAATACATTTTGGGCAACTCGAAGCAATGTTAAGGATGAGTTTTGCTAGAGAAATGTTAAAGAAAAAAACAAGAAACAGCAGGGAAAAACTAACTTACATAATTTGAAGGAACGTTAATCTACTGAAATCAGATCCAAAAGAAGTCAGCCTATTGAAGCTTAGGTTCCTGTAATAGACAGTTCATCAGTTAGAGATGATATCCTGAAGCAAGTTTACAAAATGCATTCATACATGTGAGCAAGGAAGCCCTTACAAGATCTGAAGTTCCTGTAAACTATCCAAGTTCTGGATTGGCCCAGTGAGAGATGTGTTGTGCAAATCTCTGGAACATAACAAGTTCAGCACAAAAATGGTAAACATGAAGGAGTGAGTGTGATAAAAATAAAAGCTGGTTGAAATTGCATACGTCATGTAGCTTACAGTGTTTGAAGGTCCAGCAGATCCCCAAATGTTGGATTGATTGATCTCAAGTTTAGACCCGAGAGATCCCTTCAAGTATTACCAAAAAACTCATCCTTAACAGCTTTTAAAGAAAAACATAGATACACTAAATAGATTATTTCAGATTGTAAGCTCAAAATGATATTTAAAAAGGAAAAAAAAAGAAAAAAAAACTCACAATGAAACAACAAGACTTTCTTGGCATCCAACATGCTTCCACTGTGTTGGCGAGCATGGATCATCTTGCCATCCTAAATCTGCACCACTAGACTCTTGGATAACCTGAAGAGCAGAAACTGAACCATATGCACAATCATGAGGGCAGTGTTGTCAAATTTCATCAAAAGAGCTTACCCATCCATCATTGGACGAGATACCATATCAAGCATACATAAGGATAAATTGTACCTGCAGTAGAGGAACACTCCAAGCGGATTTCAACCATCTCATATACCTCCAAAGCATTTACTTGTGGGTAGAAGCTGATATTACGCAAGGTAATGTTCAAACTTGAGACAGCTTTCTGCATAAGGAAGAATGCACTTGCTTTTGACTTTTCAATGCTGTAGTTTGCTTCTACAACAACCCCATTGATCAGAATGTCAAATGTGGATGAAACAGGAAGAATTCCAGCAAAATAGAGGCCAAGATAGTAATCTCCCATCTTATCAAATTCAAAATAGTAGCTCAATATCTCCCTCCTAGCTAAAACCCTTGCTGACTGAAGGACACGAGCAGGAGGGCTCTCTTGAATGGTCGAAAAATTAAGTTGCTGTTGAATTTCAAAGCCAGTTGATGTACGAGTAGGTGAAAAGTTCATGTCGGGATCCCAGATACGATCATAAGAGTCCCAAGGATACCTGTTTCCACAGAATTGAGTAATGAATCCAGTGATATCCAATAAACTTTAGACTATCTTTTTGGTATCAGACAATGCTAAAAAGTGATCTGAAACTGTGGTACTTAGAAGATATAAAAAGGAGATCCGAGATGAACAAATTCTATAGATGAAGCGGAGTAAATAGTGAAGCTTCCTTACCGTAGGGATCCATTTGTGTACCCACAATTGACTCGAAATCGCTTCCTCAGTGAATTACTCAAGAATTCTCCTGTACCATTCTTGTAAGCACCTGCTGGTAATGGGCGAACTTCTAATGAAGAAATGACAGGGGTTCCACCTCCAGTACGAGGAAGCAAGCAAAATGGTAAAGTTTCTTTTTTACCAACTGGCCATACAAACTCTTCAACCCAGGGATCGAATCTACTGAGATTTACAGTGGCCACTGTGGTTGTACCTAAAGAGACCCCAAAATATGGAGGCCTATTCAATCCATCATAATTTTTGTAATAAAATCGGCCTCTAACTAGAACTGTAGCCGTATTATTAACAGGCAGCCTGAAGCATTTTCGACCCTCCGAGTTATCAGGGAAGAAACGTAGTGAGACACTAGGGGTGGAGTTCCCGTCATTGAAGCTCACTGTAGTTGTGTTGCCAACTGTTATATAAGCACCGTCTGAGATCCACGATATGTTCCACGCATCAACGAAGCTTGTGTTCGCCCCACAAGATAGACTTAGAAAGCCTACAAAAATTGAAAAATGATAAGAAGTATCACTAAGCTCAGTGATTCGAGAAATGGGTTTATGAATTACATAGCCAGCAGCAGCATTGCAGTGCAATAGGCTCAAATGGGAATAGCCATTGTAGAAGCAGTGACCATTCAGATTTGGAAGGAAAATCGAATGATCTACATCATCACCCGAATCATGATCTATTATAACATTGATTTAACTAGCAACATACCAACCGACATGATTCAAATAAGCATCATAAACTTGGAACCACCATGCCAAACACATCAGATAGGTCAAGGATATGGAGGATATGGAGAAATGACAAGGGACAAAATCCAACATATAACCACATAGGTCTCAAAGCTGAAAATTAATGGAAAAGACCTATGACATAATAAGCAGATATTTATAATTTCTGATAGGAAAAGTGATATAGATTAGAATATGCACAAAAGTGATATGCACAAGTTTCTTCTCCATTCATATCACACACAAACAAAATCCTCAAATGAAAATTGCGCACGATAATTACCAAGTTCAATAACAGATAGTTCTTCGAAAGGGAGTCCAAAGAAAGTGGAAAGAGAGATGGATAGGACTGCAAATATATAACATAAAATATAGATGAAACATTTTGCATCATCCATGAAACATAAAATTAACAAACACTCTATTAGGTGCATTTTTTTTTTGCTTTTTTTTTTTTTGAAAAGAAAAAAAAGAATCTCTCATTTTGAAATATGCAATAACTTTTCCCAGGATCATATGACCAAAAATCTATGTATATCTCTGTAAAATGAATAACACTCATCAGGTCACCGGAGAGAAAAATTAAAGCAATAACTTCAAGTGAAAGCACAGATTGGTTTTTTAATACTGGCAATCAAAAGAATGTTAAGGAGGTTTCTTTCTTCAAATTCCGAAGGCATTTGTATCAGCCTGCATTGAAAAGCTAAAAATGAAGTCCAAATTAAAGTTAACCATAACATTGAATAATACCTGCGCCTTAGAATTGATTAATAGAAAATAAAAAATCAATAAAACTTCTGTCTGAGTAGATAATTCAGATAATAAAAAGATTGAAAGTATAATTTGGTGATTTCCAGGAAAAAAAAATTGCATTCATTTATAAGAAAAAAAAATGCATAATCACCTAATAATTCAATGTTTTGATTTGGCTACCAAATATAACAATCATGCACTCCATTTAAAAATGTCATGAAAATAAAATTTAACCGGATACTCAGATAAAAAAAAGGTAAAAACCAGTAAATTACTTAAGAGACAAACTCAGTTAACTTTTATCAATATTGAGATCAGCCCTTGCAGACCAATTCAAAAAATTCATGAACGTGGATTTAAGGTAGAGTAGAAAGTTGAAAAATTCATCAAGGAAATATCATCACAGTAAATCCAGAGTAAGAAACAATCTGCAAGATCAAACAAAATTCTAGAGGGAGAAACACAAGTACCTTCTTGATTTCCAAAAACCGAAGTGCAAAAGGCAGAGATCAGAACCAGGCCAAACAGAGCAAAACCCTGAAACCCCATTAACCCTTCTACTCCAGTTACATCAAATTTGCCCTAATGCAACAAACTGAATCCTCCCACCACATATTTCAATCCCAAAAAATCTCATACCACCAATTATCATCCCTAAAAAATAAATTAACAAAGCAAAAGAAACAAACGAAAATCCCAGAGCCTAACTCCGAAAGTCAACCCTAATTTCGTATGGAAATGGCGGGGGTTTAAGAGAAGAGGTAAAAGGAAGAAAAGTTGGAGAGAAGCTGCTTTTTGTTCCTGTGAAGAGAAGGTGATCATGATGAATGTTTTTCGTTATTATGGTGCGCGTGTTTTGAATTTGAATGATGGTGACGAACAATAATCAAGAAGAGAGAGAGAACAACTGAGTGACTCGGTCCATGACCATGGCGGCAATGTCACACCAAATTTTTTAATGTTCGAGACGCTCACGCAACTGTTATCGCCTCCTGTTTTGCTATTCCCACCCAAAAAACCATGTGGAATTGGTGTAAGTTTGGATATCATAATTTAACGGTGGCGATCGGGTCGGGTCGACTTATCCAAGCAGGTTATGGGTGCAGATCCAAGATTGCTAGGTTTGATCGGAGTCCAAAACCTTGGACCCGAGTAGGATACGTGTTGGATCCCGAGTCCACATAGACCCGACTTGGACATATATAGGGAAAGATCCTATCAGCCCACGGGTTGATGGAATAGTGTAAGTCTAATTATTTGGACAGATTTGATGATCACGACTGTATTTTGTATTTAAATATTAATATTTTTTATAAATATCCAAGTCATATGAAATTTGGAGCATTCGCTTTTTCCATCAAAGCGCACTTAATAAAAATATTAAAAAATAAATTATAAAAAATAAATTGACCAAAGAATATATAAAGAAAAGATCTTGCCAGTCCATGAGCTAATGGAATAGTGTAAGTCCAATTATCTCGGTCGATTTGAAGATTACGACAATATTTTGAATTTGAATTCTAGTATTTTCTATAAAAATCCAAGTCACATGAAATTTAGAGCGCCCGCTCTTCCCATCAAAACACACTCAATAAAAATGTTTTAAATTTTTTTATAAAAAACAAATTGACCAAAACATATATAAAGAAAGGATCCTATCAGCCTATGGGCTGATGCCTGATGGAATTATGTAAGTCCAATGGCCCACATTGAATATGGATTGATGTGATGGGTCACGATTGTATGTTTTATGTGAATTGTAATTTTTTTTATAAAAATCTGAATCACATGAAATTTGGGGTATCTACTCTTCTCATCAAGGTGCACCTAATATTAAAAAATAATTCATAAAAACTAAATTGACTAAAATACATTTGAAAGTTTCATGGATATTTTGGTCTATTTAATTTTATTAATTATATATATATATATATTTATTTATTAGATTCACCTATTTTTTAAGAATAGACCTCTAAATTTAAAGTAATTTAAAATTGTAGAAAAAATTAAACTTTAAATACGAAATTCAATCATGACTATTGGATTTACCCAAATTCAATTTGGGCCGTTGGGCGATTACTCTAGCAGGGTGACCTCAAACTCTCCTATATAATCATATATTTAAAATATATTTTTTTGAATAATTTTTAAAAAACTTTTGTTAAGTTCTAGACCCGAACTCAAACCGGGTCAGATCCAAATTTTGAACCTAATGGGTCAGGTCCGGATCGAAAACCCTAGACACGAGTTGGGTCTGGGTTGGTCTAGGTCGATCTGAACCCGATCTAATCCATTGCCATCCCTAGATTCATATATCTGCACTTGGTTTATGGGTGGTACAAGTGAAAGTGGCGAGCCGCAATTTAGTCTTACCTTTTGTTTTTTGTTCGTTTTTCTGAATGATGCCATTGAATTTACCGTTTTCCTTGTCATTTACCTACTTTTTGAAATTGAAACGGTGAATGTTGAATGTAATTCGTCTTTCATATTTGAAAAAATATCAGAAAGTATCAAACTACCTTAAAAAGTTAAAAGTATCAACTAATTATCAATATAGTGGTTCTCTGAAACAGCATTCCACTATAGTACTTCCTCAACAATTTTGTTAAAGAGATACACAAAATGTCCATACTGTAGATTCGAAATCTTGAAAAAGGTATTCGGTAATTTTGTCCTACTTAAATGACTCTTGCTAAATAGTACAGATCTTGCTGATATGTGAACACCTATTTTTAGGGCAAAATAAACGGTCTAAATAGTTTCTTTCAATATACACTAATTTTATACTTTGAAATCCTAATTTTTTTTATAATCATCATGTTGAAGCCAAGATGATTTATTTAAAAGCTTTCCAACACTTGAATTGCAATTTACAATGAGTTATAAGGTGAGGCTTTACTTATTTTGATAGGATTGCAGCCCTATCAAACCATTTTTCTTTTGATAATTTAGCCCACTCGGTAATGCCTACTAAAACACTCTTAATCAAGATTTCGAAATTTGGAATAGTAATATTTTTTATTATTTTTAAACAAAGTTAGTAAAGAGGCACCAGAGTGAAATGCTCGTTAAAGTAACACGTTTATTAATAGATTGGTTAATTTGACTAGAAGTTTTTTTTCTTAAATGGCTTTATCATTCTAAAGATATTTTTCCTATCATGTTTAGGCAACTTTTTTAAAGAAAATTGATGTAGAAACGTGAAGTATGTTAATTATACATGCCATAATATTATGGGTGGCACGAATGCGTTTCAAGCTGCCAAGCCCATAACGAAGTGTTTCTATGTGATCCCAACGGCATATAAGTTACATCTGACCCCAATGTTTAGCGGTTCAATCGGAATCAAATGGCTATGATTGTTCATACCACAATGTCACGTCAAATTTTATTTATTTATTTATTTATTTTCTACAAATCACTTTTAGATGAAATTTTGGGTGTCCCACTATAAAATTTGGGCGAATCTAGAAAAAATAAGAAATAAATATTTTATGTAAAAATAAATAACCAAAATGCCCCTGTAACTTTCAGGAGTATTTTGTAATATTCTATCACTGGAAATATTTTTAAAATATTTTTATTATGTGCACCCCTGTCAAATATATGCATGCTCCAAATTTTGCTTCAAAAATATTTGTATAATAAAAATAAAAAAATATAATACTATGAACTGTCTAATCGAGATTTGATGGTTAAGTGCTAGCTTATTTCATTGTAACTCGGGCCATCTCAGCCATCGATTCAAATCTAATGACTGAGACCAAGGATCACATAAACCGGGGATCATATAAAAAGCCCTCCCTTACTTATTTGGTATTTCAATATCTCAAATGAGAAAAAAGGGACATGTAGTATCCTAATGATCCATGTCATAATATATGCAAGGGTGACGGTGGAGGCATGCACGAGTTTCAAGCTTTTCTCGGTTTTGGATCATCAATCTAAGGAATGAGAAGAAGTATATATTTTGGGAGGATATGTAGTTGATATTCATCAATCCTTGTAATCTTAATTTTACATAATGAATTTGATAAGCGCGATGTGCCAATAAAGGTGAACCACATTAAATTTGTGTTTTGTGCTTGTTTTCTTGTGTTTATGTTTCTTGTGTTTTTTTCCTGAGTTTTACATAATATTAATTTTACATAATGGATTTTACATAAATCTTTATTGGTGATTTATTGGTCTAATAATTGTTCATAAAGTTTTTGACACTCAATCCTGAAGGGCAGCAAAAACCCTATTACGCATGTCTACACGATAGCAGAGAAAGCTTTCGTAGCACAACAAATGGTACCAGAGTCGGATTCTCTTGCTTTGTTACAACATCTAGCATCAGAGCACTGCCAATCATTTTCTAATGTCTAGTGATTGAGAGACCGTCAACTATTCAACAAATAAGTACCTATCCTCCAAATCACAATTCCTAGACCGCAACTAGAAAAACGAGTCGCTTCTGATATACCATAGTTAAGTGAATTGGACCGCCATTGAGTCATTATTGGACTGTTGAAGGGTCATTGTGAACCTCTTGGTGAGATCAAGTGTGAACTGTAAATGAGTGTGAATAAAAGTACGATTTATATTGCTAAGAATCCGGAGTTCTATGAGAGCACCAAACATATTAAAGTAGATTGTCGTTTTGTTCCATATGAATATTTAGTC